AGAGAGAGAGAGAGAGAGAGAGAGAGAGAGAGAGAGAAAGACAGAATCCGAAGTAGGCTCCAGGCTCTGAGCTGTCAGCACAGAGCCTGACGCGGGGCTCGAACTCACTGCGAGATCATGACCTGAGCCGAAGCCGGACGCTCAACCGACTGAGCCACCCAGGTGCCCCAAGGTGAAGTTTTTAATAAAAATAGCTTTAAAATGCTATTTTTTTTTGTTATCTGAGGAAAGTGCATAAATTTACCTGAAAATTAAGCAATATTTAATTGTTTTTTCACATTTTGATAACTGAAGATGTAAGCTCTCAGATTTACTTTTAGAAAGCTAAGATTCTGCTTTACACTGGATTGCCACTAGAGTCAATGTTTCACTGAAGAATATTTACCTGACTGAATGAGTGAGAAGGGGCCTGTGGGGCCAGAAAACTATTGGGAGTTTATTATGCATGGAAATCATGATTAAATTCGTGCATGATTTATCTTTGTGTTTATGCACAGTCTAGCCTTTAAAAACATTGTTATTTCCTTCCTGCTCCACCTTTCCCTGGCACGGGCCATGAATTACCTGTCGAAACCATGGAAGAATCTGGAAGTATTTGCATACCGCAGGTCACTCAAAGGTCCAGTGGGGAATGGACACTAAGATTTACAAATGCTGTTAAATGAAATATATATTTTCACATGTCAGTAAGGTGACTCAGTGCATTTTTTAACATAATAAGAAAAAATAAAAAAAACCCTCCCTAATGAACAGAAGCCAAAACAATCCTCTACTAGTGTCGAGTCAAAATGAAGGAAGTGGAAATAGGTCTCTTCAAAATCGTCCTGCCATTATGTGTTGACACCAGCATAATTTCACAGGGGACTCAGGCGTCATGCTAAAGTTTTTTTGCCAATTGTGCCACAGAAAAGGATTCATCAGTTTTATTTTCAGGCAAGAGACACCTTTAGAAAACAGAAATGTGATCCAAACTGGTGAGAAACACCTTGTATTTCGACTGGGGTTGCACATCGGAAAGACTCTCAAAAACAATGAAAAGAGTTGTTTTGCTTGTGGCCTCCTTTGGAGGCCGACTCTGCATGGGACGCGGGACCTCTTTAGGATGCATCTTGTGGAGCCCTGAGAGGTGGATGAAGGGGTGCCGGTGGAAGGAAGGGCACCCTCTCTACCTGCTTGCAGAGGAGTGTGGAAACGAGAGAACGCCACCTTGTAGCGCCATCAACCGTAGAAAGGGAAGCGTCCTGAGAAAAACCAGTTCTGGCAAAGGATCTGCTTTGATGACTGGGGAAGTCCTGAGGTTGACTGTGAGCGCGCCGGGGACACTCGGTTACACGTGATCCCAGCAGGGTGTGTGTGCCATGGCCTCAACTTGCTTCTTGATGACATCATGAAGCCGGCCTTTCACCAGAGGATTCCAAGAAGAGCCACAATATTGTGAAACGTGCAGGAGCCATTCAGGGCTGCCGTCTTCAAGGAGAAGCCTGGGGAAAAACACACAAAGAACTAAATCAAGTCGCTGAAGCCGTGTTGCACAACCATTGATCAGAGTGGATTATCTGTTCTCTGGCGATATTTTGAGAAAATGGAAGCAGGCCTTCAAGTAAATGACATACTTGAGACGGAGCCAAACCTCTTTTCCCTGAGGTCTCTGTAAATGTTTATCTTCGCTGTTACTGTCTTTCATCTTTCACAGTAGACCTCTCACTGTGGAGTCTTGAAGTGAGACCATGTCAATTGTGAGTGGCCTTGGGGAGGACCATGGCTCCAGGACCTTTGATATTGGAAGGGGAGACTCCTTTCCCTCTTCCTCTACCTGCACCTCTGCTTCCTTCTACCCTCCTCTCTCTTCCTTCTTTCCCCTTGGCTCTTTTCTTTTTTCTTTAAAAAAAAACTTTTTTTTAATGTTTATTTATTATTGAGAGACAGAGACAGAACATGAGCATGGGAGGGGCAGAGAGAGGGAGAGACACAGAATCCAAAGCAGGCTCCAGGCTCTGAGCTGTCAGCACAGAGCCCGACACAGGGCTTGAACTCACCGCGAGATCGTGACCTGAACCAAAGCCGGACACGTAACCAACTGAGCCACCTAGGCACCTTCCCTCCCTTGGCTCTTTTCTTTTTCATGTTCCTAAGCATTGCCCCTTTAAAACCCACTTTAGTTGGTTTCTTCTTCATTGCTCCCTGATCTGAACCAGTGTCCCTGTGTGGTTGGTGGTGGAGACAAAATGTAATGTGTGCAACCACCTTGTAAATGGCAAGGTGTTCCTAACAGGTTGCTTGTTATTCTATTATTGTCCCCTCCCCACCAAATCCCCACCCAGTGGGCTCATTCTGAGCTCCTTTTGTCATCCGGACTCTTGCTTCCCTGCCTCCTGTTGTGTCTGTTCAGGATCTGCTCTCCCAGTTTCCCTTCTCTTTCTCTTCTTCTCACGACTTACCTTCTTTCCTCATTTCCTCACCGCCTTCTTAGGAAAGAGTTAATTTTGGTTTGCCAAGCACATTGAAGCTAAGGCATTAAAGGCTAACAGATTTGATGCTAACATGTCGGGGAAGGTCACATTTTAACTGGAGACTCCTCAAACTTCAAAATAGAGCCTCCAGTGAAATTTTAGGCAGCATGAACAGTCAGTGGAGGAGAAAATGAGCCTTTTCCTGGTGCTTGTGCGTATGAAGAACTTCTTACTCCACCCATTCAAGAGTTGGGCCTTAATGTAATGTGTACAGGCTACTGAATAAAATACCAAACAGGGACATGAAGGGTCCAGGAAGTTTTGGTTGGGGGAGCCAAACAAGGATTAGAGCATCTTTTAAGGAAAAGTTAGGAAAGAAACAGTATGGTTAAGAAATAAAGTACAAAGTATGAGTATTTTCAGTCACCCCTGGAGCCTCTCTTCTGTTAAGATCTCCCTGCCTTGGACTCTGGTACGGAGCAGGCAAATACAGGTTAGGCAAATAGACACAGGGAGTCATTGAGCTGGGAGTGATTCGCATGCCAAGAGAGATCACAGGGATCCTCTTTTCAAATCCTGGGGGACTGGAGGTGTTTGCTGGCAGGTAGGCTTTTGCATGAATCCAAGGAGAGAGCTCTCTGGATCCCTGGTCTCAATAGGGTGGCTTGGTCAGAGAAGCCGTTTTTCCCTGTGGATGCGTCCCAGTTTGATCAGAACCTCCTGGAGAGGATGCCCTCACCTGCATTGATCTTCATGGTCGTCTTCTTCCTGGAGTCACTGGCTGCAATGTTGCAGAATGGCTTCGTGGTTACTGTGCTGGGCAGGGAGTGGGTGCGATGCCGGATGCTGCCCGCGAGTGGCATGATTGTGGCCTCCTTGGCCGCCTCCCGGTTCTGCCTGCATGGGTGGCCATCCTGAACAACCTCTTCACCTTCTTTGATTTTCGTTCCATAATGGACTATTTCAGCATCCTCTGGAGCTTCTTCAACACTCTCTTCCTGGCTCACCGCCTGGCTTGCTGTCTTCTACTGTGTGAAGACCACCATCTTCTCCCACCCTGTCTTCTCCTGGCTGAGGTGGAGGATTTCTCAGTCGGTGCCCAGGCTGCTGCTGGGCTCCCTGCTCATGGCTGTTCTGGTGGTCATCTCATCAACCATTGGGACTATATTTCCTGTGCAGGTGACTGCCTCCCAGAATTCCCAAGGAAACAGGACCCTGGCTGATAGACTACAGAGCTATTGGCACTTTTTTCATCCTCATGCAATGCTTATGTGGTTGATCCCATTCCTTCTGTTCTTGGTGTCCACGCTTTTGCTCATGTGCTCCCTGCACCGGCACTTGGGGCAGATGAGGGATCATAGACTGGGTCCATGTGATCCCAGCACCCAGGCTCACATCATGGCCCTGAAGTCACTTGCCTTCTTCCTTGTCTTCTATACATCATATTTTCTGTCCCTGATTGTCATTACTATGAAAATTTCAACCTTCCAGGGTCACTGGCGCTGGGCCTGGGAAGTGGTGACCTACACAGGTGTCTGTCTGCACTCCAGCATCCTGATGCTAAGCAGCCCCAAGCTGAGAAAGGCCCTGAGGACCAGGCTTTGGAGAGTTCTGGAAAAAGGCGGGTTTATCTCAAGTTATCAGTATCAATAACCACTACCAGTGGACAAGCTTGTAAGTGGCTAGAACCCCCAAAGTTTGGGCACTGTCCTTCTCTCTTTTCATTTCCTTCTTACTTTCCTGTTCCTTCCATGCTGCATTAGCTTTTTTTGTACCCTGTTTTGTTCCTGCACTGCTCCAGGTCCCCAGTTTGGGTCCCAAACCACTGTGGGCTGGGCTGGTGGCCTCATTGCCTCACAGACCTCTCGTACCTTCTGTATGAGCAGCCATAACAGATTTTTCCAAGCATCATTTTGGTCTGTACCTCTTTACAGAGACCTGTAATGGTTGTCGGTTATCTCTGTGGTCAACCTGAAGTGTTTTTTAATGGTGGCATAGATTGTCCCACACCATCCCACACACTACTGCCCTCCTTATTACTGCTCTGCTGTCAGCTCGGTCTCTCCACTCCAGCCCAGTAATTTGGCCCATCTGGAACTTCCTTCTTTCCTTTGTCTGCCATTCTTGGCCATTCCCTTCTTTTGTGCCCTGCTTATGACTGATTCCACCCAGCCTTTTCAATGTGGTCCCATGAAAGGCTGAGGGTGTATATGAGTTTTGTGCCATTCTAGGCCCTGCCCATGATTTTGTGTGTTTGCTAAATGTTGAATTAAAAGGAATTGTCTGATGTGGAAATGCTTTTAGGTTTTGGCCAACTGAAGACAGAGAAGGAAAACAAAATAAATTTGCTGTAGTTCTTAATTTTGATAATCCTGCCTTTTCTCTCTCTTCACCCTGGAGGTGGGTCCTGAATGCCAGTGCCTAGCATGGTAGTCTCCACATTGGGTGTTTGTCTCTCTGAGTTGTGTGCACAATGATCCACTGAATGTGCAGAGAAAAGTGGGGCAACTCTAATTTGCATTTACTTTTATTTCATCGTTTTAGTTCCTGTTTTTTTGTGTGTGTATATTTTATGATATACAGAATGTATTAGTAAAGTAGTACATGCAAGTAATTAAATAAAGGCACATATGCTTGGATGCATGCTCATAAAGTTTTTTTTGGCTGATGGAATTTGCTTTAGAAATGTATGGAGACCAAAAAACTAGAAAAGGGTTGGGTAGGGGCAGTGAAGGCAAGAGCATCAGGGGTGTCTGTCTCTGCCATCCCTTCTACTCATCTGGAAGCATCTGGAAGACTGCCTTTCCCCGTGCAGAGCTCCAGAACTTTACTGAATGTCTTGGGTGGGGAGGGAATGGTGGTGCAACTCCTATGTCCTGTAACATGTTCACAGCCCTTTGAGTTAGGCCAGGTCTCGTGGGCTTATCTCAGGACTTCTTGATTGGTTGATGTTCTTAATCTCCCTCTCCTAGCTTTTAGCTCTGAAGAGTCCCCCAAACACTTGGTGGCTCCCATCTTGACCAAAAACACAACCCAGTAGCTCGTCCTGACTTTTGAGGGTTTCTGTGAACTCTTCCCGGCCTGCCTTTTCATCCTGGTAGGCCATCATTCCCTTAGCCATAGTCAGACTTACCAGATTATTCCTGAGACATAACGGTAGTGCTACCTCCTTCACTGACTCGCATCTCCTTTACAACATACGAGACGGCGTCTTTGTTGTCCCGCAGTGAAGCCTCTGCTGCTGCTGCTGCTGCTGCTGCTGAGCTCTTCGAATTCTTGGGGTGGGAATAGGAGGCCGTGTAACATTTCCAACTGCAGCCTGGGAATCCTGGCTGAGAGAGGAATCCCTGTCAGAGAGAGTCCTGAGGTACGTGTTTCCCACGTAGAGAATGTACTCGGGATTCCTGCCTGTACCATCCCCATGATGACACACATAAAGACCAGCTGTGAAAACTTGCAAATTCTCAGATTTGGCTTCCACCTTAGAAGATAAATTTGAATGTGGGAAAATAAATTGCAACGAATGAAACCAAAAAGCACAAACAACAAAAGAATTACCATAAAACACTTTGCATATTTATATACAAACGATTTACCCATTTGGATTAACTTAATCTGCAATAAGATGTGGCCAGTTAGTGTTGTGGTTGATGACTGGTACGTGAAAACACTTTGAGGGCAGGTACCTAGTTTACTGTTGTGGCTCCAGTGCCTTTCACAGGGTCCTTATGACATAGGAGATGCCTCATGAATTGTTGTCGAGTGAATTGAAGGTTAGCACATGTCCTTCCCATAGTATAAGCTATCGAAGATGGAGGTGGTGGGTGGGAAGGATGAGATTCCATACTGAGAGGTTTGTGGCTGGCCAGACTCCAGAGCTGTGAACTCAAAGTTTGCCCCATTGCTCCAAGGTCCAATAGGCAATGGCCAAATGTCAGCCAGGGGAATAAGGCTAACGAAGAGAGCAGGTGGGAATTTTATCTCCTGAACATTTGCATCTTCACAGAAGGGCAGGGTGAACAAAATACCTTAGTTCCCCATCTCTCATTTTTCCGAGAACCTAGTATTCACCATAGCAAGGGCTCTGTGTTGGAAGGAGATTTCTACCTGTGTCTTTGTCCCAGGTGGACTGGAAAGTGGAAAGAGATGTGTTTTCTGCATTCTAGTCTCCCTTTGTAGGGTTCTGTGCATGGAACTGGGAGGACACGGTGCTGGCCAGAAGAGGGGTGCACTATAAAATACTCCCTCAGGCTCATGTTACTTGACCCTGAGCCTTCAATACATACTGCCATATACGACCCCAAACTATTTCTGCTTGCCTGTCTCCCTGTAGACACATTAACCAGCTAAAATTCACCTGGATAAGTAACTACTCCCTTAATTGCTGGGTGTTTTTTGTTTGTTTGTTTTTTTTATTTTTATTTTTTTACTCTTTGAAATCATTCCTATGAAAAATATAATCTTTGCTTATTCTGCCTTCCTCTGGCCAAAGTAGATGGTCCAAGATTTGGTGCTCTGACCTCTGCTGCATCCCTGATGCTCTCCTGACCTCTCCTTGGACTACTTGTCCCTCCACAGGATGGATGGAATGACAGGTAGTTATTGTAATAACAGTTGTCATCATCACCCTAATTCTGTCTTGTGCTGGTGCAGATTTATAGTAGAGAGATATATCCACATGTATTTGTGGTCCATATATTTTATAGGTGAAGAAAGAGGGCTTCAAAAATGTTAAATGACTAGACTGAAGAGCCACAGATAGTGATTGTGACAAGACTCAAAATCTGGTCTCTGACTTCAGCTGGGGATGAAGGAGACCAGAGTCAAGAATGTGTTCTAACTGTGGCAGAGATCTCTGGTCTTAGAATCAGGTTGGGTCTCTGTCTTTCCTCCATGTAACTATGACCTTAGCTGAGACTCTTAATCTATACTTTGAGGCCTCATTTCTTTCTTGTATAAAATTATTTTTATGTTTTCTTTCACTCTAAAAACTGAGATTGTAGTCATAGATTCTTGTTCAATCTTGAGTTAGAACAGATGATACTTCTGGCTCCTGGGTGGTTCAGTCGGTTAAGTGTCCAACTTTGGCTCAGGTCACGATCTTGCGGTTTGTGGGTTTGAGCCCCGTGTCAGGCTCTGTGCTGACAGCTCAGAGCATAGAGCCTGCTTTGGATTCTGTGTCTCCCTCTGTCTCTGCCCCTCCCCCACTCATTCTCTGTCTTTCTCTGTCTCTCAAAAATGAATAAAAACATTAAAAAATTAAAAAAAAAAGAACAGATGATACGTGGGGCACCTGGCTGGCTCAGTTGGAAGAGCGTGCAACTCTTGATCTTGGGGTCATGTGTTTGAGCCCCATGTTGGGTGTAGAGCTTTACTTTAAAAAAAAAAACAAAAAAGGGGCACCTGGGTGGCTTGGTCAGTTAAGCGTCCGACTTCGGCTCAGGTCATGATCTCACGGTCCGTGAGTTCGAGCCCCGCGTCGGGCTCTGTGCTGACAACTCAGAGCCTGGAGCCTGTTTCAGATTCTGTGTCTCCCTCTCTCTCTGCTCCTCCCCTGTTCATGCTCTGTCTTTCTCTGTCTCAAAAATAAATAAACGTTAAAAAAAAAATTAAAAAAAAAAAAAAAGAATAGATGACACTTTTTGCATCTTACAGATGGTGAAATTGAGGCTCAGAGGGGTTAACACCATACTCAGTAACTCATGTTGGGGTGGGGGGGCTTGGACCAGTTCCTGCCTTGGTGCCTTATCCGGGATTCTTTCTGCCACATCCCATTGGTTTCATTGCTATCCTGGTAGGGGTTCTCTCATGAAATGCCACTTTAAAGGTCACATTATAAAATGTCGTAACAAAAAAGTCACCTGCCTGATAGTATATAATTGTCTCCTTTGTTCTTTTTGATGCTGATGTTCACCACGAGTTCTAGGACTTGGACCTCTTTTGGTAGAGGTTTAGCTCATTTTTTGGTCTGTCGGGAGGGTATTCCAAAAGCACCTACTTCATAGGGTCACAGTGGGAACTAGCACGATGGAAAACATTTAGAAAAATGCCTGGAGTGAACAGCCAGTTGATGGATGTGAGCTCTGATGGTCGTTAGGTGTTAGCTTAGAGAAGTAGAACTTTCTGTGTAAGGGATGCTAAATGCAAGTGCCTGCCTGATACAGTGTTCATGCCAGTGTTGACATGGGCAGGGAGTGGGTAGAGGAGGGGCAGGCAAGTTCAGGGGCAGGCAGGGGGACTTTTGACACTGAGCCTTAGCAATATTTGCATCTGTTTTGAGAAGTAGAAACCTCTTTACCCTCAGGAGATAACCCGTGTCCTCTACACTCGGGGGCAGCTAGAGGGGTAAACATGATGTAGGAGCTTCCAGAACCACCCAACAGGAATAGACCTCGAAGTCTTGGGACCCATCTAGTGCCCAGGAGAGATGAATGGAGATGACATGATTCCAGGATCTCCAGTGACTGATAAGAGAGCCATCATCTTGGCTATCGTTTTATTATTTTTGTGCCTGGTGGCAGCAGTGAGCAATGGCTTCATCACTGCAGCTCTGGACGAGGAGTGGTTGCTACAGAGAACACTGTTCCCTTGTGATAAATTATTAGTCAGCCTGGGGGCCTCTTGCCTCTGCCTGCAGTGGGTGTGATGAGGAAGACCATTTATATTTTCCTGTATCCAGAGGCCTTCCCATCCAACCTTGTACTGCAGTTCCTAGCCTTCTGGCGGGACTGGCCATCTTATGGTTCTCCCCTACCTAATTCAGTGTCTTCCATTGCATGAAAATTGCAACCTTCACCCTCCCCATCTTCCTCTGGCTAAAATAGAAGGTGTCTGGGTTGGTTTGATGGATGCTGTAGGGCTCTCCAACTTGAGCACCATCTTATTTTCATAGGCAACCAGAGCTTGTAACAGTACTTTGTAAGGAGAAGGTTGCAATCTGGGAATGCCATTGAGAATACCGTAAGACCATATGAGAAATTCTTCCTCTGTTTAAAACTTGTTAGCTGGACAGTCGTTACCGTCGTCTTCCTTTTTGGCATGGTTTGGTCATGTCTCTGGAAAGACACACTAAGAAGGTCTGCCTGTCCATTGTGGCTTTTGTGAGCCCAGTGCCCAGGCGCACAACCAGGTTCTCCTGGCTCTCATGTCCTTATCCATCCTCTCCACCTCCTGTTTTCTGTCACCGGTGCTCAATGCTGCAGGTGTTTTTCCATTTTGGGACCCTAGCTACTGGGTGTGGCAGGCAGTGATTTATCTGTGCTTAGCAGTCCCCATCACTGCACTTGAGCAACCCCCAGCCGAGAGGTGTGGTGGAGAGGGGCTGCTGTGCAGGGTGCTGGGCATCGTGAGTTGCGATTGATGAAAAACCTCAGAGACACTAAGGCAGAGGGCATGGTGCAATGGGACATGGCTTCTTTAAATCCCTTTGCCACTTTTAATGTTCCTTTCCTCTCTGCTACATTTAACGAGGAGAATGACTTCTATGGAATAGGATTTCAAGGTGGGATCGAAGGTCCTGAGATAATGGGGTAGCGTCACTGATGTACAACCCAGCAAGTCTGTGGCCAAGGCAGCTGTGTTCCCTGTGGGGCTTGATGTGGCTAGAGTTAGGAAACTTTTACTTTCCCTGTGATCGGTCTTTTGGAGGGTAAAATTGTCCTTCTGGAGACTGGATGCGAGGATCCTGACACATCATTCAATTTTTATCTGTTGAGTCAGACTGGAGAAGATATTTGGAACCTCAGTTTTCCTCTGACTTCATGCTGTAAACCACCTTTTCTTTTCTTTTCTTTTCTTTTCTTTTCTTTTCTTTTCTTTTCTTTTCTTTTCTTTTCTCTTTTCTTTTTTCTTTTTTCTTTTCTTTCTTTCCTTTTCCTTTTCCTTTTCCTCTTCCTCTTCCTCTTCCTTTTCCTTTCTTTCTTTTCTTTCATCACTTGTTTTCCAGCCATCTACTGCAGTGAAGTCTTCCTCCTTCTGTGCAAGAGTTTCTCATGTCTGAACTCTCTTCACAGAGCGTGGGTCTGGTTGTGCCTGTGTTTGGCAGTATGTGTTATCTAGGATTTGTATGTTTGCAGATGACCTTTGGAGATCCCTGTGAAAGTTAGGGGGTCATGCTTTATATATTGCTTATGTTCTCCACAGTGGCCTATTCTGTTAGTCTGTTTCATAAATGTTAAGGTCCACGAACCCAGATGTGACTTTTGTTTATACTGATATTGGGACCTTCTGAAATTTTTGACTTGGGAAGGTTCATCTATAGCTATATCACAAGATTTAAGAAGAAAAGACTTGGGTTTGCTTTGGTGAAGAATGCAGGCTGCTTTTCTGCCTTCCATAGATCTTTTTAAACCTTCCTTAAGCTCAGTTACCTCTTGAACCATTCAAAGTAAGGTCCCTAGCCTTCCCTCTATTGGCTTTATTTGATTTTTAAGGTTTATTTATTTTGAGAGAGAGAGAGAGAGAGAGAGAGAGAGAGAATATGAATCCCAAACAGGTTCCAAGCTCAGCGTAGAGCCTGACACAGGGCTTGAACTCATGAACCATGAGATCATGACATGAGCTGAAATTGGACCCTTAACCACCTGATAGTACCATGAACATTTCAAACTTAGCAAGTCCACAGTGGATGTCCTTTCTCTTCTCTTCGTCTTCCTTCCCCCCCACCCCCACCAGCCCCCTCTACTGCTCAGCTGGATCTATTTTTTCTATTATTTATGTCCAGTACACCAGGCTTACCACCTCTGAGATAATTTTCACTCCCCATCTCTGCTGAGCCCATGAGTCTAATCAGCAACTTATCTTCAGTTGCTACTTCTGCAAAGTCTCTATTATCTGTCCCTTCCTTCCCATTCCCATGGATTCTATTATTGATTAGACTGTCCTCCTCTCTCACCTGCGCTGCTAAAATTTCCTCTTCACCTCTTGGTCCATTACACTCTCCCTTCCCCCCCAGCCCAGTCAAAACTACCATTACCAGATTCATCTCTTGAAGGCATAATTAACCATTTCCACCCACACTCACCGCCTCTCAGTGCCTAGACATGAAGCAAGGGTCCCCAAACCTGGCATTCACGGACCTCCACAATACGGCAATAATTTTGTCTTCCTTTGTGTCGATTCTATGAGAATTCTGTTTTGTAGCAAAATCTCGATTTTCATTGTTTCCAACATACCTGGAGTTCCCTCGCTGATGTACTGAAAGGTGATCTCTTATGCCCACATCTACCTGCGAAAATCCTATTTAATTTTTTCCCCCTATTTAACCTTTAAAGGTTAAGTCCAATGATTTCTCTTCCAGGAAGCTTTTCTGGTTTACTACCTCCCAGGTTTTGATCTCTCTGACCTTTGCGGACATACTACTCAGTTGTGACATGAATTCTATTCTGTGGTGGTATGATCTGTATTCATATTTTATACTCCCTAGTATATTAAAAATTACTGTTTAATTTGTTTTGAGAGAGAAAGCGAGCGAGCCGGGGAGGGGCAGAGAGACAGAGGGAGACACAGAATCTGAAGTAGGCTTCAGGCTCTGAGCCCGACATAGGGCTCGAATTCATGAACCTTGAGATCATTACCTGAGCTGAAATCGGCCACTTAACTGACTGAGCCACCCGGGCGCCCCGTCTCCCCAGTATGTTTTAAAGTTTTTGAAACCATGGCTGCCTTACACTTTTCTATGTGTTCCTTGAAGCACTTATAAATACTTGATACACTGAACAGAATAATTCTCTTGCACCTGGACCCAGCCCTAAGCACATGGATTTTTGTCTGTACGTTTATCTCTGGGCTACCTACTACATTTTAATCCTGATGTTTGAGCTGTATTTCCTTCACTATCTGGCCATCTTATTTTTGGAGGTCAGCCTTATATTCTGTTTCTCTTTGACCAATGCAGAGTGTAGAAATAATAAATGAGTAAGTGTGAGAGTAAGATATGCCTGATTTTGTGATGCCTTTACTTTGCTTCTTTCTTGTACATTTACATGTTGCTAAGCAACTGTGAATGACTAGCTTAGCGCCTTCCTATGGGAATCTCAGTGAAGTGCCACTTGTCTTTGTTACTGACCCAGTGTCTCTTTCCAGAACGCCTTGTATAAGCTAATCTTTGTTCCTTCCTCTTTTCACGTGTTAGCTAGGAGAACAGAACATCTACCAGAATCTGACTGATCTCCCCACGGGGACTAGTTCCCCTGGAGCTTGAACACACAGGGAAACGTTAAAAGAGTAGCAGTTTGCTGTATTTTTAAAATGCATAGTTATCTTATTATTATCATCAACTTTTGCCTATAGTCTAATTTCATCCTGCATTATGCTGATATTAATAGCAATCATTTATGAATGCCTATTTATTTTATTAATTAACTTATTTTTGATTTACATCCAAGTTAGTTAGCATATAGTGCAACAATGATTTCAGGAGTAGATTCTTTACTGCCCATTACCCATTTAGCCCATCCCCCCTCCCACAACCCCTCCAGCAACCCTCTGTTTGTTCTCTATATTTAAGAGTCTCTTATGTTTTGTCTCCCTCCCTGTTTTTATGTTATTTTTGCTTCCCTTCCCTTATGTTCGTCTGTTCTATATCTTAAATTCCTCATATGAGTGAAGTCATATTATATTTTTCTTTCTCTGACTGATTTCGCTTAGCACAATACCCTCCAGTTCCATCCACATAGTTGCAAATGGCAAGATTTCATTCTGTTTGATTGCCAAGTAATACTCCATTGTATATATATACCACATCTTCTTTATCCATTCATCCGTCGAGGGACATTGGGGCTCTTTCCATACTTTGGCTATGGTCAATAGCACTGCTATAATCCTTGGGGTGCCTGTGCCCCTTTGAAACAGAACACCTGTATCCCTTGGATAAATATCTAATAGTGCAATTGCTGGGTTGTAGGGTAGTTCTATTTTTAATTTTCTGAGGAGCCTCCATACTGTTTTCCAGAGTGGCTGCACCAGCTTGCATTCCCACCAACAATGCAAAAGAGATCCTCTTTCTCTGCATCCTCGCCAACATCTGTAGTTGCCTGAGTTGTTGATGTTAGCTATCCTGACAGGTGTGAGGTGGTATCTCATCGTGGTTTTGATTTGTATTTCCCTGATGATGAGTGATGTTGAGCATTTTTTCATGTGTCTGTTAGCCATCTGGATGTCTTCTTTGGAAAATATTCATGTCTTTGGCCCATTTCTTATGGATTATTTGTTTTTTGGGTGTTGAGTTTGATAAGTTCTTTATAGATTTTGGATAGTAACCATTTATCTGATATGTCATTTGCAAATATAATCTCCCATTCCATCGGTTGCCTTTTAGTTTTGCTGGTTGTTTCC